ATGGAGAAGATAGTAGAGGAGGAGCTTCAGCCCTCTTCTTTCCTCTGTATGCAACAACCACCTCTGGTTGTAGACTGGCAGCGCCTTGTAGGGGTTGACAGTCCACACAGAAGAGCCCAGAGTAGGTCTGTCGTATAAGGGGAATGACAAAATTAGTTATTTTCAGATGCTGAGAGTCTTAATAACGAAGGAAAGTTACAGTTTAGGCATTTGTCTTACGTAAATCATCCATGCTGCATAACGATCTTTGACGGTTAAACAGCACAGCGGGCTCATGGAGGAAGGTGAACATCGCCATGTCTTCAATTTTATCAAACTTTGGCGGGTTCTGAGGGTGTTGTACATCGCACTCCTTCACTGTGGACAGTCTGAAATGGAGATAGTCAGTATTTAATACATTGTTATAACTCAAACAAGAGCTTTTTGTGTGTGTATAGGAAGGAAAACAACAAGCCATCAGAGCCTCTGATTTCCACTGTTTCTCTGCCATGTATGACTAAAGGAAAATTAGTCCTGATTTAATATTTGTCTTAGTTAGGAAAACCAGTTGCAGCAATGGCAGCTGTAACTGCCAGCTTACTGAACCTTCCCTTTTGCAGTCTCAGCAGTGACTTTGTCTCCATCACGGCTGATGATGGAAGCCTTCACATATTCCTCATCAGGATCTGTAACAAAGCACTCCTTCTTCATGTCAAAGGCACGGGTCTGGGCCTCCAGGCGCTCCCGGTCTGACTCCTCAGGTACGGGGCTGCTGCCCCCAAAGTCTCTCATGACAGAGTCACCCATTGTTCACCCTTGTCTATAGAAAAAAAGAAAGCATATGCTTTATAAACAGTCCAATTTGAATTAGTTAATAATCCTACATTGGTGTTATACTTTCCTTCATTAAATCCTTTTTTTTCAAATCAAACACATTTGAAACGTTCAGATGCTCTACCTTACAATCCCTATTGATGCCACGGAGGTTGTAATGGTCCTGAGGAAATGAACAATGGAACACGGATGAGAAAAGTCTCTGCAGTCCACACTAACAAAGGTAATGCTTTAGAGTCAAAGTGTAGTCAGTGATTTCAGAACGCTTGTCTCTGCACCTTACCTTGAGATAGAATGGTGACCTATTGGGCGTTTCAGCATGGGCTCTTTATAAACAAAGCCTCTCTGCCATATATGGAGGAGCGTTCAGGGTGCAGGAATGTTATTGTGTCTGCATAGGGTTGGGGGTTCATAGAGGGAGGGGTTAATGAGTTCCCGAGTGCAATTTAGAAATCAGCAGGTCCTAGTCTATCAGTGATGGGGTCTGCTGACGTAGCCATATTAGGAGCTTCATGCACTCCAGTGGATTATATCATAGGTGCCTTCAAGCATGCCAGGGACGGCAACTCAATCTTTAAATAGACACAGGGAGGAATTATTTTCTCGTCATTCTTAAGTTTGCTTCTGTTACAGGAACAATACATGTTGTACTGAGCAGAAGCATCCTCACCTCAGACCGGCAGGACTGAACATTTGAAATGCGTGTAAAGGTTTATGATTAAATAGATGTGTTCATATCGATGGTGAGGTGTTCAACTTAAGGATGTCAAATAATGTACATTCAAATGTTACTTTCAGTATGTATTGCCACTGTCTTTTTTTGTATAAAAAATGTTACAATGTGGACAAGCAACTATCAGACAACAATATTACAGTTACACAAATTCTAGCAAACACATAAAAAAAGGATTAAATGAAAAACATGCAGGTTAAGGACACAATTAAATAAATCATTAAAAACTGTAAAAATGAGAGAGTTAAAAAAGCTTATGGTGTATATTATATGTCTATTTTGTTTTCCATATTTGTGATAAGAATATAGAAATTGTTATTCTATAAAGGCTTGCATTAGAAAAGGTAAAGTGTTAAATGATGAATGATTTATAAATTGGGAAATAATTAAGTAGACTTTATGCATACTGCATCTGGGAACAACAATAAGAAAACTAAAAGATTGTTTATATTCTTTGCATGATATACAATAATCCAGAGTATTCCTTCAATGTAGACTCCTGGTCTTGTTGTGTAAACACAAAGGAAGAAGCAGAAAATCTCTGGGGAGATATTCGAGAGAAGTATGTTATGTATGGGTCTCAATTACCCAGAAGGCTTAAGTGGAGTCGCAGTGAGGCATTGGTAGCATATTGTGTTTATTCATCATAGAATGGACTTTACTGTAAGATAAATCAGATACCAAATGGTTGGGTCTAAATAAAGAACATGGGTCTGTGACTGTGGGATTATTCAGGCGGCAAGTGCTGGGCGACACAAACAAGGGACTGCCACAGGTGACATTCTTGAGAATTACTGAAAGGGCAGAAATGATGACACACAATAGAGAGCCGCATGTCAGCATTACATGCTCGATGAGACACCAAGGTCACTGTGGAAGCCTTCTCCCCTTATCAGACAGCAGCTAATGAAAGCGGGCCCCTCAGTTACAGACCTGTTGACATGGCATTGTGTCTTTGGACCAAAGATAGCTGCGTGAAATTCCTCTGTAGCCCTAATCGAGGAAAACAGCCTTCAGTTGGAGCAGATGATAGCCCCACGCTGGGTATTGTCTCACAAATATAATGGGAGTGACAGGTCTATTCCACAGCCCATAACTTTTAATGTTCCTTTTAAATGCCCCTCCTGAGCCTAAGCTTCAGTTTTACATCAGCAGACTAACTTTAAGGTAGTATTCTAATATATACTCCGTTAACAATATGCTTCTCCAAAAGTAGATATAAACCTTCCTACTGCCCACCCTTAGCTGCTGTTCAACAAGCCCAGTGACTCCTAAACACATTTTAATTTACATTTGATTCCCCTTATCCAAAACAAACCACAACATTCATTGTAATTAAATATAACAACCACATTGCACAGCCCATCACTAGCACCAGTAATCACAGCCGCTTCAGAGGTTAAGAGATAAAAGGAGGGTCAACAGCTGGTGACAAGTGCTGAGATTATTTCCATTCTGATAGCTGTTTCGACAGCTGGCGTCAGGGGGCCAAATGGAAGTGAGAGATTCCATGCCCCTGCTAAAGACCAAGTGAAGATAACACTGACCTCACAGGTCAAACTTTTATTAATGAACGGGAACAAGTTTCAAATGCTTTGTTTATCACTACAAATTAACATTGTCACCACATGTTTCCATTAAATACAAACAAGGGAAGGACGTAAAGAGAGCCTCAAGCCACATGTCTCTTTGTTCTGTGCTCCCGAAGGAAAATATTTTAAAAGCCTGATTTAACTAGAAAGCTTTCTTCCTATTTTACCCGTGACTTCATTGCTATTTTATAGTTCTTTAGGTATTTGATCTCTTTTTAAAGCAACTGTAAAAGTCTTTTAGAAATAAAATGTGTAACTATCATTATTGTTTTAGTCACTATCTTGTTTTGATTTTGTTTTTGGATCCCAATTAAAATAGCACTTAGTTATTATTTATATTTGCATATTTGATCACATAATACTTCTTCCGTTTTCTGTTGTTTGAGCTTTCTGTAAATGACCAATTTTGCTTTTATAAACAGCTGCTGATGCTGTTGCTTCTGCTGGAAAAGCAAACGACTCTCTATAAAACAGAGGGATTTCCCCCGGAGGGACCTGAGTCCGACCGGTGTGTAATATAATTGATAAACTGGCTTTAAACTAAATCACTTTTGGGTTAGAAGGCTCAGTGGTAGTTGCAAACACATGCTTTCCACATCTCAGATAGGACCATTAACATCATTAAGCATGTTGGAGATGGTCTAATTATAGAGGCAGTACACTTTTTCCATCTTTGGCCAGTCCCCTCACTCTTGTGAGCATGGTCTCAGGTGTCCTGTTAATCATGCCGATAATCCTCAACACACTGTGCTGCATGTGGTGAGCCTCTTCAACATACAGTAGGTGTGAATAAGCTTCCATTAGCTGATGGATACCTGCTTGTTCACTCAGGGAGTTGAGGACTCCCTGAATTTCACACGACGGGTGTCTGAGACCTGCCTCTCCTCCCTCCTTCTGCCCAAAGGATTATTTAGCGTCCAGCATCAGCAGCAATGACTGAGACCTGCAGCAGCACCGAGGCAAAGCTCTAAACAGACAGGTAACCATAGCACTCTTAGCACAGGGAAAACATCATTATAGTTGGTTGTGATTTGCTGTTGTCTGTTTCATTATATGATCTACATATGTTATTGTTGGTTCTTTAAAATCCTCTCTAGCCCTTTGGAGGTATTTGCCGAGCAGCTGCCAGTAATTATTAATGGTATTATGGAAAGTTCTGAGTATGAGCATTGGTTCATTGTTGACCTTGAGGACCAGACTCCTGGGATTTCTTTTACTCTATTTTAAGAAAAGGATTTGATTTATCTCTCTCTCTCTTTTCTAGCAATCACTACAACTCAACGTCCCTCTTTTTAGGACATCTGCCACTACACTTCATTTCGTCCCAAGAGTTTTCCTGCTTTGGCCTAATTCTGTTCTTCATGATTCCTGATTCCTTTACTGACGCCTATCAGTTTCTTTGTAAATGTAATAGACATTATTATATTATTTATATTGTATTTCATCCCAAATTGTAAAATGTGTTATTCAAAATATAGGCACTCTTTCTTTTTTTTTGCGAGTGACCAGTCTAGGGGTGGGGTGGTGCAGTGGGCTGTGCGTTTGATCATCAGATCAAGGGGGGCATTGGGGCCACCGCGTCAGGCCGTTGTGTCCTTGGGCAAGACACTTCACCTGAGTTTGCTCCTGTGGGTATTGTCCACACTACATGACCATTACATGTATAATGTGTAATGTGGATTTGTAAGGAGCGCTTGAGAGTCATTGAAAGAGCGCTATAATAAATATAAGGATTATTATTATTATTTATGATCGATTTAAGTTTCATTAAACACAGTATTCCTCATACATTGTGTCATGAACAAACACTTTCTTAATAATGGAAGAACACAACGGCGTTAACATTTTTGATGAGATTTTATTAAGCATTACAGGTTGTGAATAGTGATGGCAAAGGGAATCAATACAATGGAGTATTAAGGCCTCTATTGGGAAAAAATCCCAATCTGAGATTTCCAATATTAAGTCATAATATTTTGAAAATAAAGTCTCAATATGATAGGTTGCTTTGAATGATATTATGCGTATAGTTCCTATTCAATTTCATGTGCATACTTAGATTATCTTTTTGAACAGTCCACAGGCCACTGAAGCCCTCAGTTATTCTGACTGGTTACCTTCCCTGTACTTCCTAAGTGAAGTGTGTGTATAGCTGCACTTTATCAGGTGGTGAAGATGTATGTGTCAATGTGTTTTCCAACTGTTTTGTTGAACTTCCACATGAAATTACAACTACATTTGTGTCATAATACAACTTGAAATATAATGACTTTATTCTAATTAGAAAACATGTTTGTAGTTGCAATACAATGCCCTTTTTTCTCTAAATATTACAACTTTATTCTCGAAATCCTACAATTTTCTCCCATGTTGGCCTTATACTCTGTTCTACAGCACACAGCGGGCTAAGGGATTTCTGCCAGGCTCCAAAGCTTCACTCTTCCTCAAACACTTTCTGTTGCAGCCCAGGAATTTGGAAAAAAGAAAAAGAGAAAGCTGTTAAGACTGCAGATAAGCAATGCTTTAATGCCATAAAGCAATGTATTCATTAACAGACAAATGTACACTAAAGCACACTTGTACTAATACTCAAAAAGCAGAGCAGCATGTTAAATTAGCCAGCAGAGGGCAGCAGGTGTCAGGGTCAGATGCTGAGCACCTGCTGCAGAGTGCATGGTTCAAACCTTGGGGCCCACATCACGGGTCTTGGCACGCAGCTTGTTGACCTGAGTCTCTGCAATGTCAGCTCTCTCTTCAGCCTCATCCAGCTCGTGCTGCTGCTTCCGGAACTTACCGAGGTGAACATTAGCCTGTTCCTCCTGTTGAGGATTGGTAAAAATAGAAATAGTTACCTATTGAGAGGGGGAAAAGCCAAATGAAAACCACACTTCACACATTGGCAGACTTACAGCCTCCTCAGTAGTTCTCTTGTAAGATTTAACCTTCAACTGCAGCTTATCTACCAGGTCTTGGAGTCGGGCAATATTCTTGCGATCTTCCTCACTCTGTGGAAATACAAGTACATTTCCTTCCAATACATTTCAACCACACAGAAAGAATATTAAAGCTAGTTATGTCACAAACCTGATAGGTAAGTTCCTTCATACGGCGTTCGTATTTATGGATGCCTTTCACAGCTTCGGTGCTTTTCTTTTGCTCCAGTTCCACCTCATTTTCCAGCTCCTTCACCTGCTCAAGGACAGTGTTTTTTCAATAAATGTTCTCATAACCTCTTCAACATCACTATATAACACTACTGACTAATCAAAAGAAATACTAACCCTGGCCTCAAGCTTCTGGATCTGCTTCTTGCCTCCCTTCATGGCGATCTGTTCAGCTTCATCCAGACGGTGCTGCAGGTCTTTGATGGTTTGCTCCATGTTCTTCTTCATGCGCTCCAGGTGAGAGCTGGTGTCCTGCTCTTTCTTCAGCTCCTCTGCCATCATGGCCGCATCAGTGATGGCTTTCTTAGCCTTTTCCTCAGCATTTCTGCACTCCTGCACTGCTTCCTCCACTTCAGTCTGAAGCTGGGATGTATCAGCCTCCAGCTTCTTCTTGTGATTTATCAGGCTAGTGTTCTATTTGTATGCAACCAAAGCAATTTCATTAAACAATGCACCATAGAGCAACATTTATTATAATGAAACAAATTCATTGTCAGATTTCTGCCATACCTGTGAGTGCAGTAGCTGCACCCGTTCATTAACATCCAGCAGCTCTTGCTCAGCTAGTTTGCGGCCTCTTTCAGTTTGCTCCAGAGCAGACCTGAGCTCCTCTACTTCGGCCTGAAGCAGGTTGTTGCGTCTCTCAACAATGGCATTGTTCTCCTTAAGCTCTTCATTGGATCGAAGAGAGTCATCAAGCTGGAGCTGGGCGTCCTGTAGAATGATCAGATTCTCCGGTTACACAGATACCAAAGTAATGATGCAAATTACAATAAAGGTATTTCCCCCTTTTACCTTCAGATGTGCAATGACAGATTTAAGCTGTTTCTGAGCCTCAGCCGCCTGCCTGTTTGCCTGGCTCAGCTGGATCTCCATCTCATTCAGGTCTCCCTCCATCTTCTTCTTCAAACGGAGAGCCTCATTCCTGCTGCGAGTCTCCGCATCAAGAGAGCTCTGCAGGGTGTCAATCATCCTCTGCAGGTTCCTCTTGGACTGCTCCATCTCCTCGTCTTTCTCAGCTAGTTTGCGCTCCATGTCTGCCTTAATCTGGTTGAACTCAAGCTGGGCTCTTAGAATCTTTCCCTCCTCGTGCTCAAGAGACCCCTAAGATGGAAATCAGGAATGTATTTAAAAAGAAAATGTCTACTACAACTTTGAAACTCAAATTGTAAATGTATCAGAAAAAGCTTTGACATGTAAGTGTTACCTCTGCTTCCTCGAGTGCAGACTGAATCTCACTCTTTTCTTGCTCCAGCTGCTTGCGGGCTTTCTCCAACTCATGAATGCTTTTTGCTCCCTCTCCAATTTGCTCAGTGAGGTCAGACATCTCCTCTGTGTATGAGAGTCATGGTGTGTAATTCACTTTGTTGCCACCTGAAATATGTATTATATGTCATTTTAGACACCTTAATATATATTACCCTGAAGATTCTTGTTCTCTCTCTTCATGGTATCCAGATGATCCAGTGACTCCTCATATGAATTCTTCAGTTTGAAGAGCTCTGTGCTCAAAGACCTGGCTTCCTTCTGAGAGCTCTCCAGCTCACACTGAGACTCTTCATACTTCTGTTTCCACTCAGACAGGACCTAGACATTGAGATACAAGTTGTATCATTTCACGTTTAAATCACCACTTCAAACTTTTAACAGCAAAATGTGCATTGGTTGAGTAGACCATTTTCACTTTGAAAACCAGGTTTTTAATGATAAACAATGCTGATGTACTTTGTCAAAGTTTCTTTGCTTCTTGTCCAGAGCAGCAGCAGCAGCATTAGACCTCTCCACATCCACCATGAGATCTTCAATCTCATTCTGCAGCCTGTGTTTGGTCTTCTCCAGAGAGGAACACTTAGCATTCACTGCTTCAACAGCCTCCTCGGCATCCTGCAGACGCTGAGCCAACTTTTTCCTGAAAAAGATGACAAGTCTTATCCAATGATTGCTTAAGTGTCTCTTTATTTGAGAGACATGTTATGGCTTTGTTAAAGCACATTAAATAAAGGCAGTAGTGATGTGAAACCACATGCCACACAGGCGCCCGGCTTTATTCAAACTGGAGACATTGCAATTCAAATATATAAAACAACATACACAATATTAGGGCAAGCTGACTCTGCCTCCTGTAGCTTTCCAAAGATTTTTGAATGAATGAATTACATTTCTCATCAAACTGTAGTTACTAGCTGCAATTGTAATCAAGTTGTGGGAATTTGTTGACATTACTTTTAGTGACACAAGTGTTTGTTGTTACTCACTTGGCCTCCTCCAGTTCCTCAGTCTTTTGGATGGCATCAGTTTCGTACTTAGCTCTCCACTGAGCCACCTCGGAGTTGGCCTTGGACATGCCACGCTGCAATTCAGACTTGGCCTCCTGTTCCTCCTCATACTGCTCCCTGAGCAGATCACAGTCATGACGAGCAGACTGCACTGCATGGGCTAAAGCAGTCTTTGCCTGAATAAATAATGATAATGTTGGTATTCCTCTTCCACATGGAAAAATATTTGAAATATACAGATACTGTAAATTAATACGTTTTGCCGTTTTCATACTTTTACTTCCTCCTCTAGTTGTCTTTTATGTCTTCAAGTTGTTGAGTGTAACAATTTTTTCCTCTGGTCAACTGAGAAACAAGAGATTCTTTCTCCTCCAGCTGTCTTGAAAACTCACCTAAAGAGGCCAAAGTTAGGTTTTTGAATTAAATTGTTTTACATCAAACAATTTATTATTTTTTAATTGAAACGTGTTAAACTGACCATTCTCAGCTAGAAGCTTGGCTCTCTGAGTGGTGAAGTCATTAATAGATCTCTGGTATTCATCACACTTGCTCCTGTATTCATTCATTTGATCTTCCAAAGTTCTGCAGGTCTTTTCCAAGGTGATCTTCAAAAGAAATAGTTCACAAGCAATGTTGATTACTTTTCAAAATGAAACATCTCTAGACATGTATTCACTATATTGCATTCCCAACTTAGAGGGAATAATAATTAGAAGAACAACTCAATATCATTTGAGATACTATGTGCACTGTTAACTGATGTTGAGGCTATTGAATTGTCATCATTCCTTACCAGTTATCAGTCAGTTCCATCAGTGTGGAAATGTACCTTAAAAATCTTCATGCGCACATACCTTTGACTTGGCTATGTGTTCCATATTGGACACCACATCATCCAGCTCCAGTCTGAGCTCACTCTTCTCCTTCTCCAGTTTCTGCTTGACTCTCTGCAGGTTGTCTATCTGCTCTCCCAGATCAGCCACACTGTCAGCTTGTTTCTTCCTGAGTGTGGCAGCAGTGGATTCATGCTGCAGAGTAGCCTCTTCAAGGTCTCTGCGGAGTTTCTGTAGCTCAGCCTCTCTCTTCTTGTTCATCTCAATCTGGGCGGATGTTGCTCCACCAGCTTCCTCCAGCCTCTCACTGATCTCCTCCAGCTCTCTGGCCAATTCGGCTCTCTGCTTTTCCACCTTAGCCCGAGCAGCTCGCTCTGCTTCAAGCTCTTCTTCAAGCTCCTCTACGCGAGCCTAGTGTCAGAACAACATATTTGATTGTGAGTTATAATGGGAATTTCATAACTTTTAATTAAGTTCCTTTAGTACAATGTTGTACCTGCAGCTCCTTCAGCTTTTTCTGTAGTTGAATGATGATTGCTTGATCATCTTCAATTTTCCCGTTCAGCTGGCTGATCTCAAAGTCTTTCCTGCAACATTTTGTTTATTTGTTACAAGATTATTGGAACATTTACAACTGGTTACACAGTATTAAGTGACCGTAGTGAATGAACAATGTCATGCTGAATGTGTACTTTTTCAGGTGCTCCTCCAGTTGTATCTTGTCATTTTCTAAATCCATTAAAGTCTCCAGGGTCAACTTTAAGTCTCCCTCCAGCTTTCTCTTAGCTCTCTCAAGGTCCATTCGAACCTTCTTCTCTTGCTCAAGAGATCCCTCAAGCTTAATACAAATAGGTTTGTTTACAACAGTCGTGAATTCATCATTTTGTAATACTTACATCATATATACTTTTGATAATAATGCTTACATCATCCACTTGCTGCTCCAGCTTAGTCTTGGCCTTGGTTAGAGTGTTGACTTTGTCTTCTTCACTCTGAAGATCATCCAGTGTTTGCTGATGAGATTCCTGTAGGGCTTTCTTTTCTTTGGTCAACTTAGCAATGATTTCATCCTGACCAGCCATCTCTTCCACCAGGTTCTTTACCTATTAATTCATGAAAACATAAGTTACTAGAGGCCTGATCAAGTACTGATCCAAAAAAAAAAAATGTTTAAGATAAGTTTCAGACCTTGTTCTCTGTGGCATGCTTTTCTTTCTCCACCTTAGCCAGAGTTAACTCTAAGTCATCAATGTCTTTCTTCAGCTCAGAGCACTCATCCTCCAACTTCCTCTTCTTTGCAGTCATTTCAGCATTCATCTCCTCCTCATCCTCCAGCCTTTCCGTGAGCTCTTTGGCTTTTGCCTCCAGCTGGATCTTGCTCTTGATCAGCCCCTCACATCTTTCTTCTGCATCACAGAGATTATCTTGCTCCTACGAAACATCTCACTTCATTAGCACATACATTAATGACAGGACATTTTCAAAAAATACATTGCATTTGAGATAGCATCCTCACTGTTTGAACATGGAGCTGCAGGTCGTTCTGCTCTTGAAGCAGAGAAACCATTTTCTCCTCCAGTTCCTTTCTGCGAGCTTCAGATTTTGCAAAGGCCTCCTTCAGCTTCAGGAATTCTTCCTTCATGTTGGCCATTTCCTTTTCTGATTCAGCCGATCTCAATAGGGGTTTGATCTTGAAGAACAGCTTCATCCAGGGCCAATTCTTGACCCCATGAATGAACGGACATTCCATTGGATCACCAATAATGCTTCTCTAAAATATGTGTTGAATAAAACGAAAGGCTATTAATCAACCAACAATAACCTTTGAATTTATACCGATGTCATCAGCTGTAAACATAAGATACCTGCGTTCCACAATCTTCTGATACTCAATACGAGACAAGAGGCCACGGGATCTGGCTTGAATAGCAGTGATGATTTTGGAGAGACGCTCGTCTCTCATCTCCTCAAGCAGACCCAGCAAACCAGCCTTGAAGAACACCTAATAACAACAATGGGTATTTTACTTTTGTGCTACCTTCTTCATCTCCTACAGATTGTTTATTCTCGTTCATATCAGAAAACTTCAGATGATACCTTTGTGTGTCCAAACTTGTACTGATTGTGGTCAATATCCAGAGACCCAAGAAGTTTCTCAGCTCCCTTCCTGCTGTCGATGAACTGGCCATCAGGAATGGCAGCGGCATTCAGAATGCGATATCTGAAAAATAAAATATTTGTAAAATCTGATAATAATATTCTGGACTTCTGCTTCTAATTTTAAAGGGCCGGGCTTGAGCCTGATAATACCTCTGTTTGAAATCTCCATACAGAATCCTGTTGGGAAAGCCCTTCCTGCAGATCCTGATGCCTTCCAGCACACCGTTACAGCGCAGCTGGTGCATCACCAGAGGGTTCTCCATGGCCCCAGGAGTCTTGGTCTCATTGGGGATGATGCAGCGTACAAAGTGAGGGTGAGTGGACCTCAAATTGGTCATCAGCTTGTTCAGGTTTTCCTATTAATGTGATGAATCACATATTTATAGCTGGCTGTTAAGATATTCAGAACCATACAAAATATAATATCCTAGGATAAAAACAGTCAAAAGAAAATACCCTGTGAAGTGCGGACACAGTCTGAAACGATGCACCCTTCTTCTTTCTCTTCTCTTTTTTGCCTTCGTGATCCTCACCTGCAACTGTTAAGAAAAATAACTGTTAAAATGTAACCTTTTAGCTAGACAAGAAAGGGTGTAATTTCCAAACAAGATATTCATGCCAGGGTACCTGCATCAGCTCCAGCATAATTAATAAACAGGATGGATAACAGCTTGAGATTGGATTTCTGGTAGAATCCAACAACAGTCTCATTCAGAGGATCCTTGTTTTTCACCAGCCAGTTGATGATATTATAGTCAACAGTTCCAGCGTAGTGCATCAGGGCAAAGTGGGCCTCTGGTTTTCCTTTGATACCTCTGGGCTTCTGGAAGTTACCAGACTTCCCAAGATGGTTGTCATAGAGCTTGGATTTAAAGGTAATATCAGAGGCTTTGGGGAACATGCACTCCTCTTCAAGGATGGACATGATACCCATGGGCTGAAAGGAAAAAAATGTAAATTGTTTCAAAACACTTGCTTTTTGTTGATTCAAGAAAATGTAATAATCCACTCTCTTACCTTTTCAATCAGGTCAATACAGGCCTGCAAATCCATGCCAAAATCGATGAAAGTCCATTCAATGCCCTCTTTCTTGTACTCTTCTTGCTCCAGCACAAACATGTGGTGGTTGAAAAACTGTTGCAGTTTTTCATTGGTGAAGTTGATGCACAGCTGCTCAAAGGTGTTCAACTGTAAAGAAAAAACAGGTCAGATTTTCTATCCATTTTATGTTGGGAGCGAGCTGGTCTAATCAGATAACTCACATCAAAGATCTCAAATCCAGCAATGTCCAGTACACCAATAAAGTACTGGCGAGGCTGTCTGGTCTCCAGTGACTGGTTGATTCTTATCACCATCCACAGGAACATCTTTTCATAAACAGCCTTTGATAGAGCTCCAACAGAGTAGGTCACCTTTGGAATAGGCAACATACATTTGAAATTTAGCATGCAACCTTTATCCCTTGCAGAAGTAGCCATATGGAAAACATAATGTGCTCCTTTAATAGTTTTAGAACAGTTTTTTTGTTCTTACTTGAGCAACACTTTGTCCCTTTGTGACCCACTCATTTCCGACTTTGACTCTCGGGTGACAGAGACTTTTGATGAGGTCGGAAGTGTTCAGGCCCATCAGATATGCAATTTTGTCAGCATCTGAAGAAAGAAAGTGAAGGTTATAAAACTGAGGTCTGGTACAAAGGACAGTGTTAGTCTTGGTTGGTTAAGAGCAAACATGATTAACAGAGCTTCTCTCACCTTCAGTGCCATCAGCCTCTGCCTGCTCCTCTCGCTGCTTGGTCTTGAACTTCATATTTCCATGATGCATGATGGCACCAGTCAGCTTGTACACAGAGTTCTTTTCCTCTTGAGTAAAGCCCAACACATCAAAGGCACTCTGTGGAGTAGTACATAATATCTTCTTTAGCTTTGATTAAAATGATACCTTCTAAAAGAACAATAAATGCTGTTTTGATAACTTTCTAAAGTTGTAAAGTCCTGTCTGAGTATTTTAAATTATGCAGTGTTTTGATGTCTGAGAAGTCTTTAAACACATTGATCTGTTAATCCAACTGGATTCCCTAGATTGTAATTAATTGCATCAACGGTATCATTATGGTTAGAGTTTGATGTCAAATTGTAAAACCGAGGAATGATTATCAGCCTCACATCTGTTGCCTCCAGTTCATCTGCATCAACAATAGAGGCCACTGTGGTTTCCCCCTGAGAGATGAACGGGTAGTCATAGGGATTATTTGTAATCAACAGCATCTCTGGAGGACAAAGAGAAAGGGTGAGACAAGGTCAGACAGATGCAATCATACAAAGTGCCTTCATTTGGTCTTGGTTTGGTAGTCAACCACCACTGAGACACAAAGGAACCCCAGCCTTGCACTAACCCAGGAGTTCAGGCTTCTTGTTGGACAGAATCTGGTAGAAGATGTGGTAATCTCTCTCAGCCTTGAGCTGGAAGACCACACGAGATTTCTCCAGAAGGTCTGATAAGGGACACATACAGGAGAGAATATATGGCCATGTGTAAAATCAACTTTATTATTATTATAAATGATTTATTAAATAATGTTTTCTGCATCACTGTTTAACATATATGGGTGTTTGTCCTTACATGTTTCAATATCAGCAGAGGCTAACTTTCCCCTGGTATCAAAATGAATTCGAATGAATTTACCCTGAAAGAAAAACATTTGTCCTTTTTAACTACATGATTGCGTTTTCAAGTGAACTGAATACAAAGTAATCAGAATGTATTCACACGGGGATTAGATACTTACAAATCTGGAAGAATTGTCATTCCTGATGGTCTTGGCATTACCAAAGGCCTCCAGAGCAGGGTTAGCCTGGATGATTTGATCCTCCAGAGAACCCTGTAAAGAGGAACATTGTGTGGGCTCATTTTTGTTTAAAGCTACACAAAGAGACTTTAGCAACCTCTGGCTGCAGTTATTAAAAAGTTTGAAGACATTTTAAGTTTACAATTTATATAGCAGAGTAGCTGTCGAAAGTGGAAATCATGACAGGATTGTTTGTGAATTTGTAAGATACTATAAACAGGTAATTTAATCAAGCAAGGTAGCTAAATCTATTCAATGTCAGTTCAGACAGCTAAGTTATGGGAGTTAAACTTGTCTTTTTGTATAATGATTTAATCTGTAGTTTGAATCAGAACCTCTCTGGCAACTCACACATTTGACAGAGATATTATTATCATTATGTATTATTATTTACCTTGTCTTTGGCATTGGGGTCTTTCTTCATGCCTCCAGATGCAATACTTGCAAAATACTGGATGACTCTCTTTGTGTTGACAGTCTTTCCTGCACCAGATTCTCCACTGTAATTGCAAACTCAAAAATCAATACCTAATGGCATCATCTATGATAATAAGATGTTATTGCACAGCATATAGTGTCATTTTTGATAATCAAGTAAAACACAATACATACGTGATCAAAATAGACTGGTTTTCCCGGTCTAAAAACACAAGTGTGCAGAAAGTGCAATATTGTAAATATCAAGATTCAGCATAATAACATCTACCAAAAATTACCGAAGCATTATTGGTCATTTTTACCTGACAGCATATACTGGTAGCCATTATCAGAGATGGAGAAGATATGAGGAGGAGCTTCAGCCCTCTTCTTTCCTCTGTAGGCAACAACCACCTCTTGGTTGTAGACTGGCAGCCCCTTGTAGGGGTTGACAGTCACGCAGAAGAGCCCAGAGTAGGTCTGTGAGATACAGAAACATTGTTATTGTTTTACCAAATACTACTTGTGAATTGTACTTTTTTATGTTTATGATATATTGAAGATTCCAAGTTTTGGACATACTGTAACCTTGGATTCATATACTACAAATATTTTGTATTGAAATCTTAATAGAGAACTAATTCATACATTTCTATGTAAAAGTTGTTTTGATAACCTGGATAACATTCAGCCACTAGATGGCACACTCCACCTCACCCTTACATTTTGTTCACTATCAAAGCATTTGGTTGCTATTTTGATTCAAAATCAGCATATGTAATGGACAGCGAAGATTACCATTCAGGTTTCAAAGAAAGCTTTATTTAGCTGACCAGATAAGAAGAAGAGTGACTGCCTCTGATATAATTGTCAGCCTATAAAACTACTTCAGCTGAGTCCAAAGAGCAAAAGCAATATTCACCGTGGTCTTCCTCCTTTTTTCACTGAGCATTTTGGATTGGAACAGGAGTAAAGCCTGGCCAATACTGTTGAATTATTAATTTGTTTTTTTTCCCACTAACAGGCCACCACCAAGATAACAGAGATCACATCTGCCTTCTTAGCAACAGCATTTAATGAAACAACATTTTAAATTGAGGTAAACAGAAAATTCCTTTGGAACCCCTCAAAATTAAAAAGGAATTCACCTCCATAAGTTGTCTATAAGGAAAATCCATACTTGTGTTCTGTAACGTTTCAAAAGCTCATTAGATATATTTTTTATTATTTTATTTGTCTACATCAAAATGTTCTCAATACTACTTTTTAGAGTAGGTGCAAAATGATTTTTGACAAATCGTATTCATTGCATTGTCGGCTACTCACGTAGATCATCCATGCTGCATAACGCTCTTTGAGATTAAACAACACAGCTGGTTCGTGGAGGAAGGTCAGCATGGCCATGTCCTCGATCTTGTCAAACTTTGGAGGATTTTGTTGCATGACGTCGACATCTTTGATAACTACAGTCTGAGAAAAGAAATTGTTTTGTTTATGCTGCCTGCTCATTTTGTTAACCTCCATGTGTTGCCTTATCATTGTCAACATTGCATGTGAAACATTACAAAGCATGCCACGCATTGTTAGTGACAGATGGCAGCAATACTCCGTCTCATCACACACTTCACCCGAGACACAAATCATACATATTTTTTATCGCCACTGATATACAAGTGTTGTCCACATGCTGCCTTCTGGTCAATTCATAATAATGAAATATAACAAATACTGGGTTAGAGTCATTCCTCACACTATTGTTACACATTTTGACATATAAAGGTTAGACTTATAGGTTAATCGTTATTTCATCATTGCAACTATGATAAGAAAAAATGTGTTGGTAATCATTTTAAAACTAAATGTCTGAATTGTTATGTAAACACTGACCTTCCCATTCGCCGTCTCTACAGTGACCTTGCTTCCTTCTCTGCTGGTGATGGTTGCCTTCACAAACTCTTCCACTGCATCCGGGACGAAGCATTCCCTCTTTATGTCGAAGGGACGCGTGGAAGCCTCCATACGCTCCTTGTCCGACTTCCTTAGGTACGAGGCAGCCAGCCCAAACACAGCCATCTGAGCATCCCCCATGGCTCTGCTTTACAAACATGTAGAGAGGATACAAGGTTGTACACGTCTGTATCACATATTTCAGCCTTTAATACTCATTATCATGCATTGCCAAGTAAGCATTAGTAAAGAGAATTGTACCTGTGATTTCAACTCAGATGACAGATAAACTCAAGACTGGTATGGGTAAATCTGAAATAGACAGAGAAACAAATAAATGATACATTTTAAAGATATTGTAAAAGAAAAGGAATTACAGTAGTTTAGCATCAGTATTTGTAAAAGTAACAGGTCTCTTTTTTTACTTACAAGTATTTTGCATCATTAGAATAACATAGTTAGTTCAAAAGATAAAAAGTATAAAAGCATGTAAAAAGCAAAAAGTGGTTTCTCATCACCTCGTTTTTGAGAAATGAGACCATATCTAAAACATTTACATTTACACGTTGTTTAAACTTCAGAATAATACAGCATGACTACATAATCAATCCTGTGATGCAGACTTACCAAAGCCAGATGCTGAGGAAGCCTCTTCTAGACCTGTGCGGAAGGCAGGGATGAAATATATAACCCCAGATAATCCTGCCTAACAAGGCCAAGGGCATCACCCTGACCTATTCACTACCAAAAAAAAACACGTATCTCAACAGGTTAGCTTCCAAACACTCCCCTTTACCCACTCACTCACACATTGTGGTAATCGCAATCACTTTCATCACTTACGACAGTGCTCCCTAATGGCTCTCTTGATGTCTGGTTGCCCTTTCTACTCACATCCAAAAAATTTGATTTTTCGGGAGTAGTGCCAGGGACTTTATCCTGCATAACTGGTCTGGGGCTCACCCAAGCATTACCTCACTATAATTCCACCACACTTTCCTTCAGCCATCTCTTGTCCTACATTCTTTTTACAAGTAAGGACTGGTCATGAATAGATACCAGGTTCTATTTATTGCCTGTAAAAACAAAAAACAAAAATCTCTGTCATTGATATCAAATTCAAATGTCATGTTCAATGTATAAGCTTATCTATTTCCGCACACTTAAAGCAACATGTGGTTAAAGTGCCGTGAACACTTCGGTAAGGGTCGGAGCAAATTATTTGTCCGACACATCAAATGATAAACAGAGAAATTATCAAGGCCATCCAAAAAAGAACAAGTTACCAAGAAGAAGGATATATTCAAAATCATTTTTAAATGTGTGGCTATGTCATTCAAAAGCAAGATTGCTTGGATTGCCTTGCTGTTTATTCAGATCTTTGCATCCACAATTGTATACAGAGCAACCTCTCTGTGTTATCTTTCTCAACTTCTGAAGTGACTTGTTAAAGTAAAACAAAAAGTGAGGGTCTGACGGATGCCCTAACTGAACAGTCTTGACCTGTATATCACTAAACCCAGAGTTAAATCTTAAAACCTGCTAGTGGAAAAAACTATCCAGTGGAGGAGTCAGGCATGTATGGCTTGGCTTTAACCAGCCTGTGCTGTGGGAAGCACTAACCCAAAAAGATGGGATTGCAAAATGAAATTCACCCGTTAAGTCATGGTCTGTTTGAGAACTCTTGAGTATCTGTCGTTGGTAATTCTTACTATTGTTTGCAATGTCAATAATGTAATACTTTGCAAGCTACACCACACCAAGTGTCCACTCTGTCACCAGGGGCTAATTGGCTATTACTCCTCCATTAATATTAGCTGTGGTAATCATCACCTCGTATTATAAGATGCTTATCACTGCCAGGTTATAGGTCTATTGTTTAGAGTCAAGGCCGGTCAAGCTGTGGTCGGCATCCTGTCAGCAGCCACTACAGACACTCAAGAGACAGCTCTGCCATGATATCTTGAATGCTTTGAGCCAATGAAATAAAGCTTACACAGATGGACATGCTTCAAAGAAAACAATACTCACTTTAGGGATGAAAACAAAAATGTGTCAAACAATGTGCAATGTGTTTTACAGTAAAACAATAATGGAGAATCCCAGTCCGTCTCTTTTCAACGTGGCCACATTCCCCTTTCCTGAAACTTTTTATTACCATTTTACATCCATCCACCAGATGTTTCTGACTTTCCCTTCTTTCTCCATCACCTTCCCCCTGTCTTTGTCCTAAGAATTTACAATACATTAATGTGAATCATGTGTGGTAACTTCTGTGCTTCCTGGAAAAAGCAGATTAAACTAAAATAGAGTAGCCAGTAGATGATATTTAACGCTACTATTTTTTAAGTGAACATTGCTGCATTTATTGTAAAGTTCAGTTCAAATAAAAGGTCCCATTCCACTTCTAGACAGTGAGTTATCTTTCCATATAACTCTTGTCTCTCCATTGTTCTCTTATGATTATGGTATTAGACTGTGTGCGGTTTATAAATAACTGTGAGTGGGATGGATATAAGAAAATGCTTTTGTTTTATAGATGCCTGACCCCATTCTCTTCTCTGCATGACTGACCACACAAACAGAGTTGGAGCCAGTTTACCAGCCACACCATCAGGGGTATTTTCAGCCTGATAGCAGCAGGGGAGATAAGGCTTCACTTTTGCTAGCGTTGAGTTTAACCATGCACAGAAGACACAGTCATGAGGAATAAATAACCACTCTGGTGAGACAAAGACCTTAAACCGAAGTGTTGTTTCAGTTTATTCTCTCAGACACAACCAATTTTGTTGTGATACTGAAAATGTGTAAACTATAGCTTTTATCTACAGGTTTAAATCATCCTTGGAGTAAATGTCATTGATATTGCAATATGTAAAGCTGTGATGGATGTGATTGTTCCCATACTGTACATACATCCCTCACTGTACTCTGTGATTAATGAATTTGTCAATAAAAAAAACTTCCGACATTTGTCTTTTATGTAGGAATGAACACAGAGCCTCCATCTATGGCCTTCCGTTTTGGCGCCCCGTTTTGGAAAATGTTCAGCAGCAGGGCGGGGGAGAGCAGAACAACAGGCAGCTGTTTGTATTCTCAGTCAGTGGAGGATCAGAGGTGTGATCCTACAGCTTACAGACCCCCTGGAGTCCTGGACGCCACACAGACACCAGGCCCATTCATGGATCGGCACTGGGAGGAGTTGTACCACATACTGGGAGTATGTGGTATAATATCATCCTTGACTTAACTAATACCAAACAAACAACTAAGAGTGCCAAAAAAGAAACAATAGTTGAAGGATCCAATTTAAACAGCTGTCTACAAAAGTTGCTTGCAGGGAAGGAACCCTACAGTGAACAGACTTTAACACGAATATATATAGATATATATGTAATGTTCCTTTAATAGTATGAAAATGTGTTTTTGTTTCATATTAAAACATCTTAAATAAAATCTGCTCCCTGTTCCTTATTGCAAAATCTATGAATGTGCAAATGTTGTTCATGTCAAAGTTTTGACTGCCAATATATTTAGCCTTTTTTATAACAAGAAACTGGCTTTTTTTACATACTCTTCTATAGGTATTTTATGAAATATTGCTATGATGGTTTTAAAGGGCATACTTTACTAGTTTTTTGACTTTTTTAAGACATACTATGTTCTATATACTATTGATTTGACTAGACAATTTGGGATATTTCTGATTAATATCAGTATTGCTTTTTTATGACTTTTTTGAAAAAATACAATGGTGTGACAAATTATCCTCAGACTTTTTCGACATGCTATACCATGTTGTTTTTCCTGATATTTTTGACATTAATGAAATGTATTGCTATCTAATATTAATAAAATGGGTTTTTTGTTCGCAATTAAATAGTCTTAAAGAAACATCTCCTCCTTCTCCAACATTAAAACATCTATAAATGTTTCTGATATTTTGGACATACTATAATAGGTCGTGTTTTCTGATATGTTCGTCATATGTCAATTATTCCTCTTTTTTTGACATACTATACTGTGTTTTTTATTCAAATATCTTCCACGTACTATACTATGTGGTTTTTTTTGTAATATTTTCGGCATACGAAACTATGTCGTTTTTCGTATTTTCTTCGACATGCTATAATATATCGCTTTTTCTGATATTTTCGACATACTATGTCGTTTTTCCTCATATGTCGTTTTACCTCATATGTTAGATGCACTATACTACGTTGTTTTTCCTCATAATTTAGACATAGTATACGAAATTCCATACTATGTCGTTTATTCTGATATTTCAACTTAATATACTATGTCGTTTATTATGATGTTTTTGTCACACTATACTATGTAATTTCCCCTCAGATTCAAGACATATTATACTATGTATTTTCTTGTATTCTGTCGTTTTTGTTATATTTTCGACATACTACACTGTCTTTTTTTCTGATATTTTCAACATACTATGTCGTTTTTCCTCATATGTCGTTTTTCCTCATAATTTAGACATACGATGTCGTTTTGTAACATTTTCGAAATTCCATACTATGTCTTTTATTCTGACATTTCGACATAGTATACTACGTATTTTTTCGTGTTTTTATCGACATACTATGTAGTTTTTTCTGATATATATATATATATTTTTAATAATAAGTCTTTTTATTTCATTATAGTGTACAATAATCGATGCCATTACATTTACATTGTAATATCACAGTACACTCCCCCCTCCACCCGTACATGCCCACACAGGAAAAACCAAAAAATGTAAAGTTTAAATGTTGGGGGACGTTCATTCTTCCAGAATAAAAGTATACATTTCTTGGCAAAATATGTTATCGTGATTAGTATTACTATTCTGTAATGTTTGGGATTCAGTTTAAAGTTTGGCATGTCATTTAACAGGAAAAAACATGGATTAAGGCTAATTTCGATGTCTAAAACGGCTTTTGTGAGAGCATGAATCGAATCCCAGAAATGTTTCAAGAGATCGTAATCCCAAAACAGATGCATAAATGTTCCTTCTTTTATTTTACATCTCGGACATTTTGGAGAGTTTTCTTTGGAAATGTTATGCATCTGTATGGGTATGAGGTAACATTTGTTGATACATTTAAAGTTTGCTTCTTTGATTTTATTGCTTGTGAATG